AAAGAGTCATTGCTCCACTACAGTGGGAGACATGTAGCCAAAAAGAATATGTTCATCCATTCATAGAATCATAGAATATCAGGGTTGGAAGGGACCTCAGGAGGTCATCTAGTCCAACCCCCTGCTCAAAAGCAGGACCAATCCCCGACTAAATCATCCCAGCCAGGGCTTTGTCAAGTCTGACCTTAAAAACTTCTAGGGAAGGAGATTCCACCACCTCCCTAGGTAACGCATTCCAGTGTTTCACCACCCTCATAGTGAAAAAGTTTTTCCTAATATCCAACCTAAACCTCCCCCACTGCAACTTGAGACCATTACTCCTTGTCCTGTCCTCTTCTACCACTGAGAATAGTCTAGAACCATCCTCTTTGGAACCACCTCTCAGGTAGTTGAAAGCAGCTATCAAATCCCCCCTCATTCTTCTCTTCTGAAGACTAAACATCCCCAGTTCCCTCAGCCTCTCCTCATAAGTCATGTGTTCCAGACCCCTAATCATTTTTGTTGCCCTCCGCTGGACTCTTTCCAATTTATCCACATCCTTCTTGTAGCGTGGGGCCCAAAACTGGACACAGTACTCCAAGATGAGGCCTCACCAATGTCGAATAGAGGGGGACGATCACGTCCCTCGATCTGCTCTCTATGCCCCTACTTATACATCCCAAAATGCCATTGGCCTTCTTGGCAACAAGGACACACTGCTGACTCATATCCAGTTTCTCGTCCACTGTCACCCCTAGGTCCTTTTCCGCAGAACTGCTGCCTAGCCATTCGGTCCCTAGTCTGTAGCTGTGCATTGGGTTCTTCCGTCCTAAGTGCAGGACCCTGCACTTATCCTTATTGAACCTCATCAGATTTCTTTTGGCCCAATCCTCCAATTTGTCTAGGTCCCTGTGTATCCTATCCCTGCCCTCCAGCGTATCTACCACTCCTCCCAGTTTAGTATCATCCGCAAATTTGCTGAGAGTGCAATCCACACCATCCTCCAGATCATTTATGAAGATATTGAACAAAACCGGCCCCAGGACCGACCCCTGGGGCATTCCACTTGACACCGTCTGCCAACTAGACATGGAGCCATTGATCACTACCCCTTGAGCCCGACAATCTAGCCAACTTTCTATCCACCTTATAGTGCATTCATCCAGCCCATACTTCTTTAACTTGCTGACAAGAATACTGTGGGAGACCATGTCAAAAGCTTTGCTAAAGTCAAGAAACAATACATCCACTGCTTTCCCTTCATCCCCAGAACCAGTAATCTCATCATAGAAGGTGATTAGATTAGTCAGGCATGACCTTCCCTTGGTGAATCCATGCTGACTGTTCCTGATAACTTTCCTCTCATGTAAGTGCTTCAGGATTGATTCTTTGAGGACCTGCTCCATGATTTTTCTGGGGAGTGACGTGAGGCTGACTGGCCTGTAGTTCCCAGGATCCTCCTTCTTCCCTTTTTTAAAGATTGGCACTACATTAGCCTTTTTCCAGTCATCCGGGACTTCCCCCGTTCGCCATGAGTTTTCAAAGATAATAGCCAATGGCTCTGCAATCACAGCCGCCAATTCCTTTAGCACTCTCGGATGCAACTCGTCCGGCCCCATGGACTTGTGCACGTCCAGCTTTTCTAAATAGTCCCTAACCACCTCTTTCTCCACAGAGGGCTGGCCATCTATTCCCCATGTTGTGATGCCCAGCGCAGCAGTCTGGGAGCTGACCTTGTTAGTGAAGAACAGAGGCAAAAAAAGCATTGAGTACATTAGCTTTTTCCACATCCTCTGTCACTAGGTTGCCTCCCTCATTCAGTAAGGGGCCCACACTTTCCTTGGCTTTCTTCTTGTTGTCAACATACCTGAAGAAACCCTTCTTGTTACTCTTAACATCTCTCGCTAGCTGCAGCTCCAGGTGCAATTTGGCCCTCCTGATTTCATTCCTACATGACCGAGCAATATTTTTATACTCTTCCCCGGACATATGTCCAACCTTCCACTTCTTGTAAGCTTCTTTTTTATGTTTAAGATCCGCTAGGATTTCACTGTTAAGCCAAGCTGGTCGCCTGCCATATTTACTATTCTTTCGACACATCGGGATGGTTTGTCCCTGTAACCTCAACAGGGATTCCTTGAAATACAGCCAGCTCTCCTGGACTCCTTTCCCCTTCATGTTAGTCCCCCAGGGGATCCTACCCATCCGTTCCCTGAGGGAGTCCAAGTCTGCTTTCCTGAAGTCCAGGGTCCGTATCCTGCTGCTTACCTTTCTTCCCTGTGTCAGGATCCTGAACTCAACCAACTCATGGTCACTGCCTCTGAGATTCCCATCCACTTTTGCTTCCCCTACTAATTCTTCCCGGTTTGTGAGCAGCAGGCCAAGAAAAGCTCCCCCCCAGTTGGCTCCTCTAGCACTTGCACCAGGAAATTGTCCCCTACACTTTCCAAAAACTTCCTGGATTGTCTATGCACCGCTGTATTGCTCTCCCAGCAGTTATCAGGAAAATTAAAGTCACCCATGAGAACCAGGGCGTGCGATCTAGTAGCTACCGCGAGCTGCCGGAAGAAAGCCTCATCCACCTCATCCCCCTGGTCCGGTGGTCTATAGCAGACTCCCACCACTACATCACTCTTGTTGCTCACCACTTCTAAACTTAATCCATTCATCCACAGGAAGACACTTCCAAAAAGAAGGAGAAAGGAAACACAACTTACCCTAATCCAAGGAGAGGAATTAATTAAAGAGGACTGAAAATTAACAGTAATGTGAAAAAACACATTGTGCTTTTATAAATTTCCAAAGAACAAATCCAACCTTGTTTTATCATCTAAGAGAGATGCAGAGGCCAAAGAGAACGTCCACAAAGGAAAGGGTGACGACTTTTCAAAGGAACAAGTGGATAGGGTAGAAGCCTTGCTCAGGCAAAATGACAAAACAGCCCCTGGACTTTAGGAGGTTTCCATTTTCTCCTCCTATATTTGCTGGTAAAGGATCATTCACCAGCTTCAAAGGCTGTAAGGACACAAAGCTGAACCAGCAAGATTTCAGTAGTCTCCTCTTTGAGGACAATGGGATTGCACAGGAGTAAATGAAGGTAACTTGATCTGCAGAATATTTTAGTACTGAGGATGCCTGAGAAAGAAACACAGCTTGACTCCAAACCCAGAAATTCACAGGTGTGGCTGTTAGTGACACTTCATTTGTGACGCGAGAGAACTTAATCTGGGATAAAAGGTACTCCTGTGAATTTAAATTGCTAATGAATAGCTGACAGTGCTATTTGATGAACATCACTTTCAATACATAAAAGCCTGCAAGCTCCTACAGTTTGGAGAGGAATATTTTAAAGGTGCACTGCAAGCAAATGCAACTGTTTGTGTCCTCCATTGGTTCTTCCTGATGTAGGATGTGGATATGTAGGATGTAGCATATTTTTTTCATGACATATTTATCTCTGGCATGTTTGGGGTGGTTGTTTTTTTAAAAAAAAATAGAAATGATGAGTGGCTATAGTCTTTCCTTTCCTGGCTTTGCTAGCAGCCCTGACTAGTGATCTTTTACAAGGATGTATTCTAAGTTGCATCTCTCCACACACAATCCCTTTCTCTCTAAGAAATAGAATCCACACTTTGCTTCATTTATGGTGGAGAGGGACAGAGAGAGTAAACAATAAATAGTGTTAAAAAAAAAAAGTCTTGCTTTGCAGGTCATGTCTAAATACCAAAACTCAGAGGCAGTTTCTCTTGTTTTTTTAAAATGGAAATTAAATCCAAGAAAATACATGACAACAACATTAATTTAAATACATAAATTCTAGGGAAAGGTTAATGTTTCCATAGTAACCCGGGGAGATCTTCAAAAACATAAAAGGGAATTAGATGCCCAACTCCCATTGACTGCTCTTTGTGCCTTTTGAAAATCTGTCCCTGGACCCATATTGTACACATTATAGTTCAAGTCCTACCTCTCAGCCTCCTAAATACATAAAAGAGCCCTATGTGAAACAAGGAACCAGACTCCACAGTCCCTTTTTGCCTCACATACATACAAAACATAGTTACACCTCTGAAATTGATAAATATAAGTCAGATCCTTAGTTGCTATAAACTGGCTGAGGTTTGGGCCCTGTTGGAGCACTATGGATGTTAATGTTAGTATGAGAAACATTTTTAATTTCCTGACTCCAATGCATTTATATGTATTAGCCAAGATTTTCAAAATTATGTGCCTAAATTTAGGCTTATTATTCCATCTTTAGGCATCTACAAAAATAGTCTGATTTTTCCCCCCAAGAGTTTGAGCACCAAAGAGTTCCCACTAAATTTAATTTTAAATTTAAATTTAATTTAATTTTTAACGAAATTAAAGTTGACCTGGTTTATAAACAAATTCTTTAGCGTTGGTGAGGTGTAGAGGAAAGCATCTTGGCTGATTACCATATTTTAGCTGGAGCAAAATTACTAGTATATAGTGGATGAGATTTAATAGACCTGAAGAAACATGATTTATTGGGAAGAGTACATTTGAATGCTGAAGGAATTGCCCTTTTACATCCTAAACCTCCCTTTTTATTTAGTCATGTCATGAATATTTTATGACTAGTAAACATTTAAAATAGAGTTTGAAAAGTTTATAGCTGGTTTTGAAGGGAAACTGCCTCTTGAACCTTGTGGCAAAGGATTTTACGCTGAATAGGTTTTCCTCAGTGCTGGCTTAGTTTAGAGATTATTACAATTGGGGCTTTAGTGCATAGCTAGATATAATTGTTTAGTGTGCTTAGTTATCACAGGAAAATACACTAGCATCTGGAAATGAGACTCTGCCTTAGCAAGGGTTTGATGGGATCTTGCGAGGAATTTCCCTTTTCTGCTCCCTCTGCCCGCACCCTTACCGCTTTCCACAGAGTTTTAGACTTTTTGTATATATTTTGCAACATTGGGAAAACTTGAAGAAAACGATGACTCATCATTCCTGTAATATAAAACGTTTCCCCCTCTTTCTTTCCTTCTTTCTTTCAGACAAAGATTGCTATCGAAGCGCTAAGAGACAGACACCAAAAGCTACCAGGAAATATATTAAGGGCTCTATTGGAACGATTTGATAAACATCAGAAAGATGACTAGTGTGTTTTACATATGTGTTTAAAATGTACATACCTTGTTGTAAAAGTATTAAAAGCTACGTTACTGTACTTTAAACTTTTTTTTAAAATTACAGTTTCTCCCAACAAGGGCTGTCTCTCTTATGTCTCCGATCAGCAAGTAGAAATGGGCCAAAACTCAAATTCTTAAAAGATAAAATTGGCTTACAAAGGATTTTGAAAAATTTAGGCTTGTGCTCCTTTTACTAGTTTATGGTACATGAAGATGGCCTTAATTTTCCACCCCACTCAGGCTTTGATCCTGGTACCACTGAAGGCCATGAACCTGATCCAAAGCCCATTTTAAGTCAGTGGGAATAAGAATAGGCCAATAATAAATGTCTAGTCTGGTTTTGCTGGAGAACCCCTTGGGATGTCTCAGATATTTCAATTAAAGTGAGCCTACAATGACTGACAAGATGTTGTTTAAAACATAACTTTTAAGGGAGGTGCTTACAAAAACAAATGATAAGCCAGAGTTTAACAGTCTAAGAATTCTTTGACTGCTCACTAGCACAGCTCCCATTGTGCTAGTTCTCCAGTCATCACAGATTCTTCCAAGGTGGACAACACCTAAAATTTTCTAATATAAAAAAGAAAGAAGAAACCCAAACTCTGACAAGGAGAAAAACTCATCAGGCCTTCTTGATGCACCAGAAAGAATAAATAAATAAATAAATAAAAAAGCACAAACCCATCTTTTCTCCTCTGCAGGTTACGTTTACATTTTTGGGGTTTCACCAAGTTTAACAGTAATTTGCTTGGCATAGATGCTCTGATACAGAACATCATATTAATTCTTTCACAGCAGAATTACTAACCTATTCAGACATTGTAAAAAGTTGAAGCACGGTCTAATGTTTGAATTGTTTAGATTGTAAACATAAGGATTGAAAATCCTGACCCCGCTTAGGGTGACCAGATGTCCCGTTTTTATAGGGACAGTCCCATTTTTTGGGACTTTTTCTTATATAAGTGCCTATTACCCCCACCTCCTGTCCTGTTTTTTCACAGTTGCTATCTGGTCACCTTAACCCCACTATACTCAATAGTAAAATTCCTTTGACTTTAATTGGACCAATGTTTTAGCCAAGAATGTTAGAAATGAACTCCCAGTTGGTAGCGTCAGAAAACTTTCCACTCAAAGATGCATTTTTTCCTTTTATTTCACACAATTATTACACTTATAGTATCTGCTCTTTAATGACTCCAAAAGACTGAGCAAACATTTATCCTTTTGTGCTTTAATCCTCTTGCAATAGCCACTTGTCTACTATTACAAGAGGAAAATCAGAGGAAAATTTGATCTGAAGAAACAACTCCAGTTGGTCTTTTTGTACAGCATCATGGTCTCCTTGATTTGGTATTAAAATGTGTAGTGTACAAATGTTGGAATTAAATCTATGTACATAAAAACAAGTGCACTGAAGCATTTAGATTTCTTGTCTTCTTGAAAGCTCAATTTTAAAAGTAAAGTATATTGAGTACAGAAAAGAATCAAAACTAAATGCCCTGTTGCTTCTCTCTACATATTCATGTATTTAGTAACTTAAATCTATATTTTAATTTGGTGTATGAAATCCTGGAAACAAATAAAATTGGAAGTTATACTTCCCACTCACTTTTAAAACTGACAAACTTCTGTGTGTGGATTCCTTCTTCAAACACTCTTTCATAATGGTATTTTACCAAATACGTTGCCACCAGTGCTCATACTCATGTTTTCCAGTTGTGTGCACTTCTGAACCTCCTCCCATACCAGTAAGTGGCCAAATTTCAGCTGTTTTGACAAAAAGAAACCAGAAGTGAGTCTTGTAGCCTCTCTCCCTTTTCTTTAGAGCTCCCAGCCCAAATGGAGATCAGTGATTTTCCCCTTGTGGCTAATACAGTATAGCAGGTTCTCATCTAGTACCCTCAAGGAATCCAATAAATTAAAAACTCAAACTCTTCACTTCTATCCAAGCTCACTTCTCTGCACTCTTCTTTGGCTCTGCAGCATTGTCCTACTGCCCTTGTACAGAGCAACACCCTGTCTTCCTGGAGGCCTGTTTCCAAACTCAGTAGTCCTGCTCACCCTTGTCAGGTTGTTTATGCACCACCTTTTCCGGTGGCCAGACCCTCCCATGCCACTGGGTTCTAGTCCAGGATCCCAAAAATGAGTAGACGAAGTTGGCTCCATCTGACCCCTTGTTGCCATATCCCTGGACTCCTTCCCACCATAGCAGCCCCTTCCTGGGCTCTTTGTACCAGGCAAAAGCCTTCCTGTTCCCTTCAGGAATCTCCACTCTCTAAAACCCAGAGAATGACTACATAATTCTTCTCCTTCTCCTCCTATAGGCCCCTCCTTTTTTTTAATGGCAAAGCAAACAAGGACTGAATAGTCTATAGCAGTAATACTCAGACCTCACTGGTTCAGGAACCAAATTAGTAATCAACACTACCCAAAAGAGCCACAGTAGTGTGAATTCATTGTTTCACATATGAATAAAATAAAATAGTCTCACAGCAAAATGACTAAGTATTATTTTATCAACTGCAATTGGATAATAACTTAATAAAAGCATCCTGAGTGTGTGATTTAATTATTAACCAGGTTTTTAATGTCAGGGGCTACAAAGAACCATAGGAAACACATTAAAGAGCTACTTGTGACTCCAGAGCCTCACTCTGAATATCACTGGTCCGTAGCCACCACCAACTATAATTCCTAAATGCTGAGTGGTTTATATGCTCTTGCTCTGCCCTATCTTCCAAGTAATGTAATAACACCATTCTAAGAATGCTCCATTTCCCTGATACTTTTACTAAATAGCAGTGTAGCTTTTGTTACCTTAAGATATTTGAATTCCTCAGAAATCTTTTCCCTTTCTTTAGCAAAGGCTTACATACCCATAAAAAGCAATCAATTGTTTCTTCCACCTTACAGAACACAGTTTGTCTTTATTTATTCTAAAAAAATTTTTAAGTTATAATAGCCAGTTAGTATTCTAAACAAAATCACTTCATTTCTTCTATCCAGGGCCTGCTACATAGCATTATCTTCAACTCTAACAGTCCCCTTCTTTGTCTGAGTTTTAGCACAGAAGTCTCATACTACTACCCCTACTGCTTATCTTTATAATAACTATTCAGCTCTTCCCCAGCTGTGTTTCATCTTTCATTAGGCCTGCCAGATGCAACCAGATGCTTTAATGGAGGCCTCCAGCCCACATTTATCCTTTCCTCACCTATATTGGGCTAGATACTCTATCACATTCCTCTAAAAGGATGTCTCCCATTTCTATTCGGTTGTGTGATCAATGAGAAGGAAATAGGTGGCAGATACTCCACCTGGACAGAAGAATGATGCAGAACCTGGTCTGTTGGTGAATAACCAAGGGCTGGTGAGTGACTAAGGGTTATTGTGGTAACCTGCTTTAATCTTTCATTGCCACAGTATCAGTAGCCTTGAGAAGATGGCTTCACATTGTTGGGTGAAAAGCACAATCCACACCAATACTAAGCTTAACTAATTTAAAGCTTTAATAGTAATATATTGTCCCAAAATTTTCTTATCTTAATTAAGCAAAAAGCATAAGTCCAGCAGATAGAGCAGACAACATAATATAGCATAGACCTGAACAACAAATCTCAAAGAACAACAGTAATGAAAGGTGAGTAACCGTTTCTTAACTTTTTCTGGAGTGCAGGTAGGATGTTTGCCAGTGTTTAGATGAATGCTGCTCCACTCTGGTGAAGGTCCTGCATTGCTCCGCCTCCCTCTGTTAAATACATGTTCTTTATGTCTTGTTTCATAACATTATGCAGGTGCACATTAAAATTCTCATTTATAACTATTTTATTCTAAATATAACCCCATCATAACCCAAAATCCTTTTAACTGATACATTTTTACTTATCCTGCTAAAATTGGTGCCTTTTTATTTATCTATTTTTAGCCATTGCTACCATCCTCAGTCCAACTGTCCTTTCATGTATTCCATTTTTTAAAATGTATTTATTTATTTATTTTACAACACTAAATTATTACAACAATTATTCTTACTTCTTATGGCCTTGGAGTTGCAGGTTGGCTAGTTTTGTCCAGTCAGTATCCATTCTCTCTAGTCTGTTTCACTAGGGAGATTTGTACCTGGCTAGTAAATTCAGGGGTGAAAGTAAAATTGAAAACTTACTGGTATGGGGGCTGGGGCAGAAGGGGCAGGGCTGGGGGCAGCATCTCCCAGCCAGCCCTTCCACGCTGCCCGGCCAGCGCTGCCCAGGACTCCAGCGGCGATTTAACTTCCCTATGTAGGAAATCTGCTATTGTCCATCATGGGTAGTATGAATGAACCCCACAGACAAGTCCCTGTGTATTGCATCTTGGTTGTCCAGTGAGGCCTTCTGGCTTCTTAATGGTGTGGAGATTGTGTAGCAGCTTCAAATAAATTTAAATATGGAAGTTTTAATTTTCACATTTGTCAGTAAACAGTATCACTATGCTATTCCTTGGCCTATTTTGATATCGAATTCCCATTTATTAGTTATGCATTGCCAAGTCATAACTGCATAGTAGAAATTTTTTAGTGTGAGAGAAGAGCTTGAGTTTTAATAGCTGGGTAAGGAGACATGTGGGGCCTTTTTGGCAGCCAGAAAGGTGATGGAGGCAGCTCAGGCTCCTGGCATCCCGGAGGCAGTTGTGGCTTTTGGTACTATGGAGGGAATGAATCTCCTCTTTCCTTCTCCTGTAAGCAGGGTTGGAGTGACTTCAGTTTTTTGGGTGGGAGGCTTGGACTCTTAGTCCCCTAAATCAGCTGCTTCACTGCCTTCCGTGTCAATATCTCTACTTCATCCATCAGAGGGGAATAAGCAAGCATGCTTGTTGAATGTTTCTACTAAAATGGTCTGCAGTGAAATGGGTAACCATACCAACATTTATCATTAGGCTTTACAGTAAACACCCAAGGAGATGATTGGGGAAGCAAACACTGCTGGTACACTATTATTTCAAATGAGCAATCTGCAAATCCACTTGCTGCTGGTATAAACAACAGCAAAACTGACACATTTACCCATTGTATGAAGTCTCACAAATAGGCTCATTTGAAGAGAAGAGGTTCTTTAGTTAGCAACAGAGAAGGACTATTTTTTGTGTAATAGGTCTACAGGTTGCAAAGTAATCTAAGGGGATTACATTTATTGGGACAGGTTCCCGCATAGAACTTGTGATGGAAAGCAGGAAGTGTTACTACTGAATCAGGGTCAGTCTCAGGCTTTGCTAACCGGGCATACAGTACTACGTCTCAGTACAAGAGCAGTTGAGAAGGAATCAAATGAAGTGTCTCTTTGCTTTCAAGAAAGATGTGCTGACCTGGACTAAATCAAATTAAACAAGACTCCTGAGCAGACTGATGACAAAGAAGTCCAGGTAGCTGCATAAATGAATCCCCTTTGACCAAATGAACACTGCCACCACTTGCAGAATGTTAGTAATTAATTCCTTCCAGGGAATTCAAAGTCCTTCTGGACCTGCTGTCTAGCTGGTGTCTCCAGTGCCCTTGCCAGTAGATAGCAAGGGAACCCAAGCCAGCCCTCTTCACTTGGTTCCAGCCCAGGGACCCTATAATAAGCAGCCACGGTCTCTGCGCAGTCTGACCCCCCTTGCTGCTGTTTCCCTGGGCTTCTTCCTACTCCTCTGACTCCCCCCCCGCCGCCTTTGCCAGTCTCAAACTCCCTCCACTCAGGGAGCAACTACAGCCTGCCTTCCTGCAGTCCCCCTGCTGATCACTGCTCCTGGGCTTTATACTGGCCCCGCCTTCTGTTCAGATGACCCTATTTCTAATTAGTGGCATACTCCCTGGTTCCTCCTCCAGGTGCACCAACTGGAATTAATGGGCCTGCCTGACCACCTTAACTCCAATTAGCCCTGTGTGAGGCACATGCCCCACCACAGAAACTTAAATTAAAATAAATCCAGTCCAATCTTCAACTTATTCTGATATTATGGAAACACTCATGCTGTCCTGAGAAGCAGTACATCTAGAATGACACTCTCCAAACACTGGACAAAAACTGCCTTTTAAAAATGCTTGTGTAAAACAAATGAAAACAGGAGAGGTGTGCATGTACATATCCTTATTTAAAAAATCCCCAACACAATAGTTAAAACATTGAATGATGGAAAAGTTGTCTGTTTAGAATGCATGCTTTTTGGGGTCCATGACTTGTCATATGCATGTACAGCTCCCAGCACATTTTTATACAGCATATAAATTATTGTAAACCACAGAATAATCTAAAAGGGACATTAAGGTTGCAAAGCAAAATACTCAAAAGTCATGATATGACAAAGTTAGGGTGGCTGCTGCAACACTAACTGCTCCCTTGTGTATATGCATTACAACACAGATTTCAATTAAATGAACAAACACTATCCCTTCCCCACACAACATCTGCAGTGCACAGGTTCCACAGTACATAGTGACTGACACCTGTTTGATACTTATTTTTATCCTCATTGTTTAGTGTGATCCTTGCCTCATTCCCTATGCAAAATTCAATTTCTGCAGTGACACATTCTCTATATATCCCCGCCTCACTTTCCATCTAATCTGTGCACTACAGTCCTGATTTAGAGCCCTTCAATGAGTTTTGGATTAGGCCCTGAATGAGAAATGCCACACAGCTTTCATATGCACGTGTCCAGTGCCAACAGTAAGAGATTATTTGCTGAATGAGAATTAATGCTCTCCTAACATACAAACCTGTAGTGCCAGTAGAATATTGGAAGATCTTTAGTTTTTAAAAAAAGACCATCATATGATAAAAATGTGTACATGCTCAAAATTTCTTTTAAAAATCCTTATAATTCAGGCAAATCTACATGGATTTTCATTAGACCAAGGAAAACACACTAGTAATCTAGATGCTATCTCCCTGGTAAATTTTGAATCTTCTTTTCTCAAACCCCAGATGTGTTAAAGCTATTTTTTTTTAAAAGTCTCTTTTTTTTCCGAATGACACGAATATATATTTAATACTTTATTATTGAAAATGGCTTACCTGGTTTTGCTCAATCTTTTAAAAAAAAAAAGGCTGTAACTAATGGAATTTTTAAGCCTGAAAGATAAAAAATGTGAGGAAAATTTTAAATTTTTGAAAAAGACTATATAGAATGGAACCAGTTACAGATGTTGCTCTACCTATGATAATTAAAAAATAACATTTTCCCATCTGGGTGGAGATATGGAATGAGGTGGTAGTTTTGCACAATTTTGATTAATGTATTTCTTTACCTAATTGCAGTTCAAGCCTATAGTGCATACTCGGGTGAAAATCCTGTTGGCTTCAGTGGTGGTTTGGCCGAGTAGGGGTTTCAGTCTGGGACCCTAGATTTTAGTTCAATTAATGATTTGCTCTCTCACTCTCTTACCCCAATGATTCTGAGATCGTGTGCTTCAGGCCAAATTCCAGAAGAAGCAGACTGTCCAGGACACATTCACACTTCTGTTAGGGGGCTTTGCAGCCACACCCTATTATTGGGGGGGGGCATTTCTGACAGTGCCTTTAATTAGCATATATGTATACTACATTTCTGAAGAAGGCCTCAAAGCCACAGCACAACCTAACTGAATAGACTTGTCAACAATTACTGTCCAGTGTTGAGGAACACTTTTAAGAGTGCCCTTAAATAATAAACAAATATATGTATTTGTATTTATTTTGATTCATATACCCTTTCATAAAAAGGACCCTCTATCCTTTTCTCTAAACATTCCTTGCCACAATTATAGAAAAATAATTACCACCTTCTTCACCCAATAATTAGAATATATAATAACCCAATCTTTAGATCTTTCTAATGTCCTACCGGAGTCCTCTTACCCTTGAAATAAACAAATGGGCTTTTGCTGAGCAGAGATCCTCTGAAAAATCAATAAACTAGGACTATTTCAGACTTATGACATACACCACATCAAGGATGTAATTGCCCTGAGAACAAGCAAGGTCTCAAGATTCTAATATATATAACTTAAAATGGTTAAGGTAGTTAGACAAATGTATATTTAAACTGCATATATTTGATAGTCTCCTTTTCTGCCTCCCTCTGTATGTCACTTGTGTCAGTGTAAAAGGCACACATATTAGAGGGGGAAAAAAGGCCCCTTTATAATGCCAGAGAGGTGTATAGTGGCTCTATTGTAAATTCAAAGTCCTTGAATTTGATCAATTACTAAATAGCTGTCTGATGTCGGAACAAGCACTACACATTGTGTATGTTGAACTGAGTTGATTAGTCAGTGCTGCAGTGTATCAATGTACTTAGTCTGCTTTTGTCCTGAAAAGTGTCTACTCAAAAATGACACCTCTTACCGAGCAGAGATCCTCTTCTATCTATTCAGAGTCACCAGTGCTTAATTTAGTGACAAAAATAATTTGCACTAATATTTATTCCTGTTAAAACTGCAAAGTCAACACACCAAAGACAGTGATCTTGACTCTATCTCCTCTTATATGTCAACAGAATTCTTTTTGAGCTCCAATCAATTACACCTGTGCAACCCTCTTGCCTTCAGTTTTGTTGCATAGATATTAACAGTACAACCTGATAGTAATGGGTTTGAACAGGTGAAGGCCACTAATTGTGAAAATCTGTCAATTGAATGAAGATCATAGAGTGTAACTCAAAAAGAAAAGGAGAACTTGTGGCACCTTAGAGACAATAACACATTTATTTGAGCATAAGCTTTCGTGAGCTACAGCTCACTTCATCAGATGCATTCAGTGCAAAATACAGTGGGGAGATTTATATACACAGAGAACATGAAACAATGGGTGTTACCATACACACTGTAACAAGAGTGATCAAGTAAGGTGAGCTATTACCAGCAAGAGAGCTGGGGGGGAGGGAAACCTTTGTAGTGATAATCAAAGTGGGCCATTTCCAGCAGTTGACAAGAACATCTGAGGAACAGTCAGGGGTGGGGGGGGAGAGGAAATAAACATGGGGAAATAGTTTTACTTTGTGTAATGACCCATCCACTCCCAGTCTTTATTCAAGCCTAAAGTTAATTGTATCCAGTTTGCAAATTAATTCCAATTCAGCAGTCTCTCGTTGGAGTTTGTTTTTGAAGTTTGTTTGTTGAAGAATTGCCACTTTTAGGTCTGTAATCGAGTGACCAAAGAGACTGAAGTGTTCTCCGACTGGTTTTTGAACGTTATAATTCTTGATGTCTGATTTGTGTCCATTTATTCTTTTACGTAGAGACTGTCCAGTTTGGCCAATGTACATGGCAGAGGGGCTTTGCTGGCACATGATGGCATATATCACATTGGTAGATGTGCAGGTGAACGAGCCTCTGATAGTGTGGCTGATGTGATTAGGCCCTATGATGGTGTCCCCTGAATAGATATGTGGACACAGTTGGCTTTGTTGCA